TTTGTACATTGAATAAATTTTGATAGTAATGTGTTTGAAAATATTTTGAATTAATCTTGTTTCAAAAGCTAAGTGAGCTTTTCTACCTATGAAAGGCCAAATTCTCACTTTCTAACTTCACAGACCCTAGACAATTCATGAGTATTAAGTAAAGTTACAAACAATCATCAAGCAACAAAGTACTCTAAACCTTTTGTTTCTGGGCAATGGTGATTAATTTGCTGCAAATCGCAAAAAAATTATTATAATACTCTAAAAGAAAAAAATGTATCATATTAATTTTTTTCTTCTCAAAAAGACTTATCTATGGTTATTTTGATAATTAAGTATACTCATATCAGTACTTTCTAAAAGAACTGTAAAGATTGCTAAGAACCCGAAAAACGATGCTATTATCAAATTTTTTTTTCTTGAAAAAATTGTTGCCCAAATTTTTAAATGACCCATATAAAAGTATTAAGAAACAGTGATGCAAAACAAAACTTAAATTATTACTATTAATCAATAGTTCTAATTGATTTCTAGCATGTTTTTTTTCTCTCAAGAAAATGAATAATTTTATTTAATTAGACACATAGGGTAAAATTATACTTTAATTAAAACACTTATTTTGGGGAAAATTCATTTTATTACTAATCCAGTAAGTAAATGCAAACAAAAAAAAATTACTTTCCTTTCTTTTTCTTTATTAGTTATTTTATTAGCAATTTTTATGTTCCTATACAAAAAATCCACAACTATGACTTAGTGCATGTAGTTTGAGACTGCCTCACAAGGCTGTTTATCCACCATCTATTGAGATTTATTTTAAGCTATATCATGTTTATATATTAAAGGGAAAAAACATTATCAATTTAGTTTTTTAAAAATGATACATAATTTTTGGATTATACTTCTCAAATCAGTTTTTAATTTGATTGTATTTTCCAGATTATCAGTAGTTGTTAATACTTCAGATGTCTTTCTTCTGAATATATATTTTTTCTTTATAGACAATTTCTGCATCTTTCAATTCAAATTTTTGCCTTTTTTCAAACCCTGTATAAATGCAGTTTTTAAATTACATTATGGGTTATTTTTATTTTTGTCATCATTAATATGTTTGTATCACCTATATTTTGAATACTACCCACTTTCCTCATAATAAACATTTCCACTATATTTTTAATTTCCCTTTATTTCCTTCAGGATGAACTTAAAAATCCGTTCCGCTCAGAATATGCACAAAATAATATGTAAATAATCGTTTTATGTCTATTTTACTCATGTAATTAAAAAATAGATGAAACTATACTTAGATTAGGATTTGAATGATAAAAATTGGTTTACTTTTTTCCCCCACTAACTTTGGAATTTTTCTAAAAAGAAAACTTTTTCACCAAAGTGGAAACACTGCTTACAATATATTCCTGAGCAGTCTAAAAAGTTTATTTTATATTCAACTTCTTCATTTTTATTTTCATAAATTTTATTGTTTATATTATTGCTATATACTCTAAAGACCGCCTGTGGAATATGTTTAATCATTTCAAATGAATAAATATATTCTAAAAGGTAATTGCTCACACCTGGCGCTACGTGAGGGAGAGTAACGACCCAACCTTTTGTAAGTGGTTATAAAAACCCTTAAGAACCACTTAAAGACTGATAACAGTCTCATGCCTGAGTGTTTAAACAGGATCCAAAGAAACATTAACACCTTCCAGAAAGACCTTTCACAGCTTCCACCAGAAATACCTAAAATATACCTGCTGGAATATCTTGGCCTGGAGGAGAGGGCGTGGTCATCCCTTAGACTAGGAATATTCAGCCAATCAGGAAAGAGTACAAAAAGAGAGGGGGATGAAGAAAGGTGGGAAATATAGGATTGGGACTGAGCACTTCAAGTTGAGACTCAGGCTAGGGACTTCAAGCTGGGGAGTCGAAGGAGGAAGACGAAGACAGCAAGGAGACTTCAAGCTGGGGAGTCGAAGGAGGAAGACGAAGACAGCAGATGGACAGACTTCAAGCTGGGAATCAGGCTAGGACAGTTGATACTTGGAGGAAGACAGAGGTCCAGGGAAGCAGCCAGAAGAGAGACAGTTCGAGACATCGGCAACCCCTCTCACCATGAAGAACCAGCTAAGTAATAACCCTCATTTAATTATAAAGATGTAAACTCGTGTTGGCAACCAATAATCAGGCATAATTTTGTAAATAGCATTCTCCTCTAGTATGATTCTCTAATATCCATTGTATATATGTTTTGATTATTATTTTGTGTATATATGGTGTGGTTTTATTTAAGCTTGTAAATATAATGGTTAGTAAACCATCTTGTTAATTTTACATTCTACCTTGCATGCCACCAATTAGTAATAGAAACAAATAGTAAATTTAAAAACACGATGCCTTTAGAAAAGATATTCAATAAAAATCATATGGTTCAATCTAGGATACTACAGTAGGAAGTCTGTGGTATCTAACATTTAAATACATAATTAATATATTTTTCTGTAGGTCGGTTTCCTTCTGGAACCAATATAAATACAAATATAACTATTAAATACATATAAATACAAATAAATGCGGTTTGCGGTTCCTGGAACCCCCTACTCGCCGTAGAAACACGAGGCCAGGAACATAGCATTATCAATAAACTTTGGATATCCCTCAAAATATTTATTCTGCTTTAATGGTCTATTGACATACATAACAGATGACTGACATACTTTTTAAGACGAACAGATATAATTACTCCAAAATTTTAAATTTAACCATTGACGCAAGGCGATAATGACTTTAGTTGCTGAGACCTTTATAACAAAATAAATAAATAAACTTGGTATTTTATTTAGCAATAAAAATATGATATAATATTATCCAAAATTCTATTTAGATATGTCATAATTTTTAAATGTTATGTTTAAACTTATTTATAGATTACAGAATCCAATCTTTAGAGGAGCAGTCCAAGGATAAGTATCGGCTCCTCTACTGTATATTATTTACACTTAAGGCATATATATTGACTGCTACTTGTGCTGACGACACAGATATTTTCACAAAACATTGAGATCCTTCACAAGGCTTACTAACGTTATATCACTTAGATAAATTACATGACTAACACAAATTATGGAAAATTCTACTAAACCAGGATAAATCAAAACACATTACATTCACCGTTTGAAGAAATAACATGCCCTCCAATTTATATTGAAACCTACCAAATTCCTTAGATGGACACCGTACACTACCCTCGACTAAACTTAGACAGGATGACATGTGTCCTGCATGAAATGAAATGGAAGACCCTTTAAAGACGCCTCAAACTACTTTACTCAATTTTTTCCCAATATTCAAAACTATAACTGATATAGAAAAGGAATACATACACAAACTCACTTAAACCAATATGGACATACTTCTTACAGAAACTTCAAACATTCCAATTAAATTATTACGACTCATAATTATAGCACCTAACATTGGGATGCGACTAACAAAACCCGTTATACTAATGTCCATCTGCCAACAGATGATCAACACATAAGGACTCTACAAATGATTTATTATTAATTTAATATAATATTTTCAACTGTTGGGTAGGTACAAACAAGTTGTGAAGAAGAGTGGAGAAAGGAGACACATAGGTCAGTTTGTTTCATTTTTTCGCTTTTATCAGAAAAAACTATCCATCGCATCAACAAAGATGTTCTATACAAAATTAAAGCTGATTAAATTTTCAATATGATTGATTATATACCATTTTTCGCTACCTCGCTTAGTTTCTTTGATATCCGTCCTCAACTATGGCTAATTTTGAAAAAAATAAATTTGCCTCGTGTTTATTGCTATTTTTTGAATTTTTGCATATATCAGGAAAACTATCCATTGCATCGACAAAAACGTTCTAAACAAAATTAAAGCTGATAAAATTTTCAATATGATTGATTATGTAACTTTTTTTTCGCTATTTCGCTTAGTTTCCGAGATATCTGTCCTCACTATTGCTAATGTGAAAAAAGTAAATTTGCCTCATGTTTTCTACTGTATTTAACTAGCTAACTCTTGATTGCTTCTTTCTACGATTAAGTCCTGAAGAAGAAAGTTTTTAATAATTAAATTTTCTTCAAGATTATATATTATTTTATTAGTTTATCTCCAATGGTTCAAAAGTTGGATCAATTATAACTTTATATGTTTATTTCAAAACTTTGTAGAAAAAAATAATTTTTATGATATTCATTATTATTATATTTCTCTAACTCTATACAGCTCAATCTGCATGTAGACATAAACATATACATACATACAATAATGTTTTTTATAAAAATTATTTTTTTTTCTACAAATTCTCAGAATCGACATGTAAAGTTATAACTGATCTAATTTTTAAACCGTTGAAGATAAATTAGTAAAATTATCCTAGAAGAAAATGTAATTATTAAAAATGTTTTTCCTTATGACTTAATCATAAAACGAAACAATCAAGAGTTAGTTAGTTAAATACAGTAAAAAACATGAGATAAAAACTTTTTTCTCCACATTAGCGAAAGCTGAGGACGTATATCTCGGAAAATAAGTGAGATAGCGAAAAAATGTAAATAATTAATCATATTGCAAATTTTATCAGCTTTAATTTTGTACAGAGTGTCTTTGTTGATGCGATGGATAGTTTTCCTGATATATGCGAAAACTTGAATAAAAACAATAAACACGAGGTAAAATTTTTTTTCTTCAAAACTAGCCAAGGTTGAGGACGAATATCTTTGAAACTAGGCGAGATAGCGAAAAAAGGTATATAACCAATTATATTGCAAATTTTATCAGCTTTAATTTTGTATAGAAAAAAAGTTTCTAGGAGTGGGGATCTTTTTGTATATTTACCTCCTTACTAGTCCAAACAATACCCCAAAGTCAATAATTGTGTCGCCGCCATTTCCTTCTATACTCCCCTTCAGAGCATTCATTGACTGGACCAATAATAATACAAAGAAGGTGAATGAACAAAAAGAGAAAATTAAAAGATTTTATTTTTAAAATAGTATAAATAATTGTACTTAGTCTTCAAGTCATTTCATCAACTGGGTAAAAAAAAATATTTCATTAAGGACATAATGAAAGACCCTTTTCTGCAAAAAATTTAAAATATTACATTCTTCCTCTTCTTTTTTTTTTTTTTTTTTTCGTTATAAGAAGACTAAATAGTTAACGTAAAAACATGAGGATATATCTCCAGAAAACATTTTGACCGGAAAAGACAGTGGTCAATGAACAACAGCACTTAGAGGCTCTGCTCTGATCGAGTTTAGGTCCAATCGGGAGTCCAAAGCATCGTCTAGCTCACCAACGATAGCACTGAAACAGAAAGATAAATGAAAGCACGTGCTATTAATAAAATTAAAATGAATAAGGAAAATGTACCAGTAACAGTTTTCAATTCATCAACATAATAAGTTTTATACATCCGACATGAGTAGATTAACAGTTAAAACGCTTATGAGAGAACCTCAAGTGATACCAGGCCACAAAGGCCGATTGGTAGTAGATGTTTTAATGAAGTAAGGGTGGTCATTTGTTTCTAGATTTTTCATCTTTTTTTTTTTAGGGAAAAAGTTTGATATTTTTATTTATTCATCTATAGTTTGCTATTACTAAGTTTAAACTGTGCAGAATTAATTTTGGTCTTTAAAAAGTCTCCAGTAAACGCACTTCAGGCATCTGCCAGTGAGATGCCATTACACATTAGAAGGACATAGTAAACAAAGTTTATTCCAGTAATAAACATCCAGTAGGCAAATCAATTAGAAGTGGAAAGGTGTTCTGCTCCCAACTATCCATCATTGCTAAGGAATTACAACCACTTCTGAATTACAACACATCTCCGAAGCTCTTCTAGAATACACAATTCCCATTCCCAAATCTTTAATTGATATTCATTGCTGGCAAAGCAGAGAAGAAAAGTTTCTACCCATCTATTTATTTGAAACAACTAGCACTTGACACAATCACAGAACGATATCCAAATTACCAAGTCTATACTGACGCATCAAAAACAAGGAATTGAATGTCTGCAGCTATATTGAACCTCCCAAAAAAATCACAAATTTTCTCTATCATTACTAGTTGAATTTAGCATCTTCAGCACCAAACTATACGCCATAATATACAATGAAAATACAAACACAAACCACAAAATAGTTATTCTGACGGACTGAGCAGCTGTATGTAAACACTTAGAACTTATACATCAAAATACAGTACAAACTCACATATCTTTTAAAATTGCATCCCTTTTACACAAATCCAACAATAATTACTGTTTTCAATGGGTGACGGGACATGTAGGTTTATCGGGAAATTAGATGGTTGACAAAACTGTGGGTCAAAATCAGGTTCATCGCATTAATGCTTAAGTTCCATTATTGGACTTGATGAGAGTAGTGAGAGGAAAGACAATGGAGGAATGGAAAGTTCCTCAAAGGATAAGGACCACCACGCAGTTCATCCGAAAATAGCCTTGACTCCATGGTTTGCAACACTTAAATTTCACCTCGACCGCCCTTCCTTAGTGAAGCTGACCAGGCTCAGACTTAACCACGGTAGAACAAATAAATTTTGTCATGTAATGGGTCTTGCTAAAAAACGAAGGAGAATTAGTTTAGGGTCCCAAACTGTTGATGATAGTATTAGTTATCTCGAGTCAATCAATAAAGATAATGCTCGAACATTAGGACATGCACCTATTTAAGTCCCTCGTACTCTTTTGAGATTCATAAAATTATATATATCAGTAAATTCAACCGAACTTCTGTAAGCCTATTAAATTATTATATTAGTTCCAGTTATAAGTCCAAGTTAATATAGCCATTACGAAATTTAAGACCATTAAAATAGAACTTTAAGATTTAATATAAACTTTATAAATTTCACATAAAATACCTGCTGTTTCGGAATCATAGAATTAATTAAGAATCTATCAATCAATCAATCGGAATCATAGAACTAATTAAGAAGCATAGCCTATTGGCTAAATAGGACTTGCTATGACAAGTCTTTAGCCAAAAAATTAGTTTTGGTGTTTATATTTGTATAAAAATCCTATTGACCCCAAAACCTGTCTATTACTAGTGGAATATACGATGTTAGAATTTCCTTAAGCTTTTCATGCTTGTCTGCCATTCCATAGCTGCTGCTTTAAAAAATGGTGGCTGATTTAAAGAATATTATGTAATTTGAGGATTGAAACAAGAAATCCATTGTGAAAAAGGTGAGAAATGTTTTTATTTTTTTAACTTGTATATATGGGTTTAGACATGTAAAAAACAACTTAACCCCAAGGGAAATTTTTTACAGCCTAAAAAGTCAGACTTTTTTGATATTTTTTTTCACTTATAACTCCTAAACGATGCATCAAAGCTAAAAATGTACTCTTTAATAAATTAAATTGTGTGTCAGAAAGATACATAAACTTTATAATTTAGTTATGTAGTAAGGTATAAAACCACAGTCAACCAATGCTGATTTTAACCGAATTTTTCAAAACCTGAGACAAATTATTATAAATGGCCCTGTAACATGGAAATGAGTACTCTAAGAGGAAAAACCCATAGAATCAAAGTTGTAGAGCATCACATTTGCGTCCACTGAGTACTTACATTTTTATTGTGGATCAATTATATATCTTGAATCAGGATTCGTTATTCCTTTCTAAAATTCGATATCTTTTGACACGTCTTTATCAAAATCCTTCGCTGCTGAGAGGTGGAAAACAGGCTTATACTACATGTAACATACTCTAAACAAAAGTAACTCAGTAGAATAGACACACATACTGTTGAAATATTTAAAATCACGTTTACCTTCATTTCAAATTTCTAACTATCGGGAGATTACAGATTTTGTTCAGTGTAAGTGACCTACATTAAATTAGTTGGTACTCACCGGACACAAAATTTGTTGCTCTATGGGTTTTTCCTCTAAGAGAACTCCTTTCCAAGTTACAGGGCCATTACAGTAATTGTCTCAGTTTTTGATAAATTTGGTCAAAATCAGCATTGGTTGACTGTGGTGTTTTATACCTTACTAGATAACTAAATTATAAAGTTTATTTATTTTTTTGATGCACAATGTTACATTTTTTAATTTATTAAAGAATAAATTTTTCGCTTTGATACATCGTTTAGGAGTTATAGATGAAAAAACAAAAAAATATCGAAAAAATTCAACTTTTTTGGCTGTAAAAACTTTTCCTTTCGTGGCCTGCGTTAGCAATTTTGTTTTTTACATGTCTAAATCCATATATACAAGTTAAAAAAATAAAATCTTTTCTCACATTTCGATCCTCTAATTACTGGCGTACTGACGAAGGGCGACAGTCATAGGTTGATATATATTCGGGTGTCCCTCCATGAAATAGAGCTGCAGAGGGAGACGACATTATAATGAAGGATGAGCTGTTCAGAAGAGTGGAGAAATGGGAGCTGGTGAACTCACGTATCCAGGCAGTGAATATTAATTTGCGCATATGAAACTGGAACCTAATACAATTATATGCTCTGACAAACGATGCAAGCATACTAGATAAGGAACAGTTTTATGCAGACCTAGACTGTTTGGTGACCAAAAATAAAATTGGTAATAGGAGCATCCTCATTACGGGAGACCTCAAAGCACGAACATGCAATGACTACGTGAAAGCACATGGTGTGATGGGTCCGCAAGGAGGCGAGAAGTTGAAGAATGATAGAGGTCAGTGACTGATCGAGTTTTGTGTGGACAACAACATAAGCATGTTGTTGAATATTTGTATTTTCCTCACAAGTTAGTGCACAAAATTACCTTCTCTGCCACAGATGAAATGCTAATAGCGTCATTGACTATTTTATATAAGGCCGAAACATCAAGAGGTTTTTCTCAAATGTAAAGGTTATTAGAGGAGTGGAGATAGGTAGTGACCATAGGGCTACTGGTGGTCGACACCAAGGTACTTAAGGAACACAGGACAAAGCCAAAAGCGTACGACTCTCAGATAAGACAAAGAGGTATGAAGATGAACTGAAGAGAAAACTTCAGCCATTCCAAGGAATGGATGCGGACGCTAGCTTGGAAGATGTTTGGAAACAAATAAAGGACAGTATTCTGGAATCGGCGGCATTGGTCTGCGAAGTCAAGAAAATACTTACAAAAGATAAACCTACTGTTTGGTGGAGCGATGAACTAAAAGCAGCGGTCAAGGAAAAGAAAGTAGCCTGGAAGAATTATTGCAGGATAAAACCACAGAAAAATGGTAGTTTGTATTAGCAAGAAATATGACTAAGGAGGCCATAAAAACAGTAAAGAAGAGGTCATGGGAAGAATTTAGAGAGAGGTTGAACCATAATCATGGTGAAAACATAAAACTATTTTGGAAAAAGATCAAAGCATTGATTGGCCAAACAGGCAAAGGAATAAGAAATATTAAGAATGAGCAAGGAGAAATGGTCTTGGAGGACAAAAGCATCCTGGAGGTATGGAGGAGACATAATGAAAAACAATTCATAAGTGAACATATGTATCCTGTGACAGTTGAGAGGCGCGCTGGAATGAGGCTGGTCATAGAAGAGGACAAGGTCGAGCTAGCTATTGAAAAGATAAAAACAAGAAAAAAACCAGGACGAGATAATTTAGTTGGAGAGTTTGTTGAGTATGCTGGGATGGACTTAGTGAGGTCTCTCCAAATACTTTTTTAAAAAACCTGGGATGAGAAAAGGATCCCTACAAAATGGGAATATAATGTCATAATTCCCATACATAAAAAAGGCAGCCAGACTAAAGGCTCCAACTACAGATCCATATGCCTGTCTCCAGTAGTATGCAAGTTGTGTACATCCATCCTGCACAATAGACTGAGACCTCTAGTGGAATCGTTCAGAGGAGAGGAGCAAGCTGGTTTCAGAACAGGATATCAAGACACAGGACCATATATTCACCCTCAGGAATATTATGCAAACTTATTGGGATAATGATAAAAATATATACTTTGCCTACCTCGACCTTCAAGCAGCATTTGATTCGGTCCCAAGAAACGAAATTTGGAAAACAATAAGAGTAAAAAATGTTCCTAGAAGCCTGGTTTAGGCCATTAAATCCATATACCAAAATCCAAAAGGAATAGTCAGACTGAATGGACAGGAATCTGGCTATTTTAGCATAGCTAGGGGGGTTAAACAAGGTGATAGTTAAAAACCGTTGCTATTCACATTATACATGGATGAAATAGCTGCAATCAGCAAAAGGCGAGCAAAAAGGACGTTTCTGGGGTGAAGGAATTCGCTTCCAGTTGTGATTCAGTTTCTTCTATATACGGACAATTTTGT